ATATGAGGGTGAAGGTGATGAGTGAGAAAATGGCAACTAATATCAAATTTTGCCTAGTTTTTTTTCGATAAAATAACGGTACGAAAGTAACAAGAACTTTGTCAAAGAACTCCATGGTTCGCTTTTAGGGAATCACTAAATGTATAATTTTTTTAATAGTTGGAATAAAAAAAAATGGTTGTGGCTCTTTTCATTATTTTGGGAAACATCAAGTATTGTAATTGGCTAATTTCATTGTCAAAACAAGTCTGATCGAGTTATATTTGTAGGTTTAAACTTCAAGTTCGAGATCGGTTGTGAAATTGAAGAGTTGTTCGGGTTCAATAGCTTGAAGTCTATGAAAAAGTAAGAACAAGACTTTAGGAAGATGAGTTAGAAGGTTAGGACACTTGCATACATCGTATGTTTTTCAAAATTACATATTGCCGAAATTTTTCTAAGTGTCTAACCCTTCTATTCAAGTCTGGCCAACTTGAACCTGTTCCAGGAAACTGAACCGGTTCAAGATTCAATACTTCGATTTTCTTAAAACCTAATAAACAATGGCCAACTTGAATCGGTTCAATCACTTGGAACCGGTTCAAGGACTTCAGACAGTTTTGGTAACTTAGTTTTTAGATTTGTTTTAATTTCCTATTTGGTATAGACTTCTTTCTAAAAACCGACTGTGTACGAATTTAACTTATTTTTCAAGTATATCTTTGTATTGATCCAAACCCGAGGGTCCGAATCGCTAACCATCCTATTCATTCTGTAACATTCTAAGAGGTTCTATGGGCATTAGTTATGGTTTGTCCAAAAGTGCCCTTGCTCGATTCAAGAAAAATCCTGACACTGCCCCACTAAAACATACATATCTCTCAATATGATTATAATGTGAGTATTAGGTTGGTATCATTGGAAATCTATCTTAAAAACCGTGAAATTGAACTCAAGAATAACCCTATTAGGATTTTAAATGAAGATGTTATAACTACTCGAAGTTAGGGGTCCAAAGCTGAAACTTGCCAAGAAAAAATGGTTCTTGGGAACTTGATGAAGAAGTTACATACCAAAATTGTTTATGTGAGTTATAAATTTGGTTGAAAAATCAGAGATGCGGCATGCACGTACAACCTCATCAAGTTGCAACAACATTTTAGCAATAATCATTTTATTAACGAATGTCAAACCAACGAAATTGTAAGTAACATTATTTGTGCATACAAATTGTAAATGATTTTTAAGATGCTCCATTTTGTTGTGTTAAAATTTAACTTTAAATAACAACATAAATAATATATTGAATTGAGTTACATTTATATGTGACATTCGTTACATGATACCATGTGAATACGTATATTCTTTGAGGGTGAAGGTGGCCCCATTTGACATAATTGGGGTAAAATGATAACGTTGTAATATTGTTGGGGTTTTTTTTAAAACTGGTGGGGGTTTAATGATCATTTTTTGAAAGTAGTGGGGGGTTTTTAGATTTAAACCCTCTATATATATATATATATATATCTAAAGTTAGTTTCAAGATGTCATTTACATTTTACAATTAGAGACTATTTGTGCATTTGTAATTCTATCACATCCGTGATCATGATCACTTATCCACCTTGAGTGATTATGTATTGTCCTATATTAAATACTAAATGACATCACTCAAAAATTATAGACAATATTTGTTTAGTCACTGATAACTGATGTGGTCCATTCACAAATGTACGTACACATAGTATCTCATTACAAAATTTTTTTTAAAAAAGTGATAAATAAATAAATTAAAGAGAATGACTGAATTTATATATATATATATATATATATATATATATATATATATTATCTTTATTTGACTTTGTAATCACACGTGTGCATTTGTGACATCAAGGATATGTAAGAATGACTTACTCACAGTCGTGTCAACCATTGTACGGAGTATATTCAACCAATCACAAACTACCAAATCAATACACTAAAATACATGTTGTGTTTCGCATTCAATTACCTGTCTTTCGCATTTCGGCGTTCCACATACTAGTATGGCTTTCATACAGCATTAAATAAGTGGACCGCAATTATACATAAAAAATATATATATAATACACCGTTCGACAACAACAACAGTTCTTCTAACTATTTGTACAAAAACCTCCTTTTCGAGGCGAAATCCATTAACACCGACTAGTGACGTCAGCAACCAATTCCAATTTCCCACATGTCGCTGGCCATCTCAATCACCTCAAAGTCACTTTCAAGCTTCTTCCCTAGTCTCTATATCCCACATTTCAAACCCAAAAAAAAAAAAAAATTTACTACCTCTGTCTTATATTAATAGTCCACTGTCTTATTTTTAGATATTCTAAATTAGTTGTTCACTTTGAAAAGTCAAAACAAATAAGTTTTATCTTTTCATCATTGTCTTTTATATTTTCAAAAATTTCAAACTTGGTAATTATATATATCTAAATTAAAAAGGACAAATTAATAGTATTAAAAGGGAAAAATGCATTAATTTCATGTCCCTTAAAAACTCCAATTTTTAAACATAGACATCTAATATAGGACGGTTGGAGTATTTATTTGTCAGCCACAACTGGGTACAGCTGGATGCCACATGGACTCCCACAACGTCTATAAAAGTTTAAACTCCTCGGTGCAAAATCACCTCCAGTCTCATAGTAACAATTTATCTCCTTTTTGGAATAAGTGGCTGTCAAAGTGCCACATCAATTAAAAATATTGAGTAACTAATTTTTCACCACCCCTCTTTAAGTTGTATTCCATATATGTATAAAAACTTTAAACATTATTTTCTAAATACAGTATAAGATATTTTAATAGAGAAGGTGGGTGGGTCCGGTTATTATCTAACTTTCAATTTTAAGTCGTCTTCCTTTCTCTCTCTGAAAGTTTCATTAGCTTCCATTAATGGACTCTCCAAGGACTCACAACAACTTCTAAACTTCAAATCTTCACTTCCAAACCCAAACACACTCCAAAACTAGCTTCCCAAAAACAACCCATGTAATTTCACTAGAGTACTATGCAGAAACTCCAGAGTATCATCCATAGATCTAAGCTTTTGTTCATTTAAATCTCAATTTTGGGACTGTTTCTTCTTATCTGATTACTCTTCCCAATTTGGAGACCGTTTCGTTGAAGAGCACAAACCTCACTGGTTCACTCATATGGGTTGCTAAATCTCGATGCAATGAGTCTCACCAAAAATGGTTATATTGTTTACATGGTTTAACTTAAATTCTTATGATAACAGTCAATTCTCTTCACTTTGTTTAAAAATTGTTGGATTATTGATTTATAATTTATTACTCTAGAATTGAAGATAAAGCTCGTAAAGAACTTTTGAATACAAGTATTTTTGGTAGGAAACTCTTTGCTCTTTACATACCGTAGCAGAAGAGAATTTATATACATTTATTATTATTACAAATTATTTTGAATAATATTGTATAACAGATCAAGATAAAATAAAATACAAAATCCTCTGAAATCAAGGTGGATAACTCAGTTCAAAAGACTTTGAACTTTCTCTAATCTTTTTTGTAGGTATCCATTTATCCAAGGAGTCTTGTGCAATAGTTTTTGAATTTAAGCTTCCATTCAATTTTTTCCAGGAAGCTTATCCAATGCAATATTTGGACAATTACTGCTTTCTATACTCCCCCTCAAACTCGGCTGGGGATGTGGCCAAAGACCAAGTTTGCCACAAAGAATGGTAAAAACAGCATTGGGTAATGGTTTGGTGAAAATGTCAACAAGTTGTTGCTTGGATGAGACATATCTGGTGACAAGAGTTCCATGAGCCACCTTTTCTTGAACAAAATGGTAGTCTATTTCTATGTGTTTTGTACGAGCATGAAAGACGGGATTGACTGACATGTGTAAAGCTAATAAGTTATCACAAAATAAAGATTCGGGCTTAGGTTGAACAACACTGATGTCCCAAAGAATGAAGGAGAGCCAAGTGAGCTCTACAGTAGTTAACTCCATAGCACGATACTCAGCTTTAGCTGTCGATCTTGCAATTGTTGGTTGTTTCTCAGCACTCTAAGAGATGTAATTGGAACCCAAAAAAGTACAATAGCCAGTGGTGGATCTCCGAGTGGAGACACAACCGGCTCAATCAGCATCTGAAAATGCAAAAAAGTCTAAAGTGCTATGTTTTAATATACGCAATCCATGATTGATAGTGCCATGAATATACCGAAGAATTCGTTTCACCATCTTAAAGTGGCCAACTGTGGGAGAGAGTGCATGAATTGACAAACAATATTAACGGTCTAAGAAATATCTGGCCGTGTCATAGTCATATATTGCAACATACCAACTATCCGTCAATACTCCGTCACATCATAATATGGGGCTTCACCCCATGCAACATTAGTTGACTTAGTTGCCATTAGTGTGGAAATGGGATTGCATCCTTCCATATTTGCACTATGCAAAAGCTCCAATGCATATTTGGACTAAGAAAAAAAAAAGGCCATAATCCAATTTATGAACCTCTATACCCAGGAAATAATGCAATTGTCCAAAATCCTTAATTGAGAAAGTACGGCCAAAAGCAAAAATCAAGTCCTCTATGAGAGAAATAGAGTCACCTGTAAGGATGATGTCATCTACATACAGAAGGAGAATAATAATATGATTTTTATCTTTATAAATAAATAGCGATGAATTAGCAACGCTACAAATGAACCCATACTCAATAAGAAAGGAACTAAAGCGATCAAACCATACACGAGGGGCCTGTTTAACACCGTATAATGCTCTCTTGAGTTGACAAACATGGTATGGTGCATTAGGATCAGTAAATCCTAGAGGTTGCTCCATATATACTAGATTTTCAAGATACCTATGTAAAAAGGCGTTCTTCACATCCAGCTATCTAATGCTCCAACCTTTAACTGTGATAACAGTGATTGCTCAGGTTGATATCATGGATGGTATCCATCAATCTGGTTTCTTGGTGTTGGGGGTGGGTTGGGTTTTTGTTTTCTTTTTACCTCTTTGTTTATGTGTTGTTGTTGTTTTGCAAAAAAAATAAATAAATAAATAAATAAATAAAATAAATAAAAATAAAAATCTCGTTTATAACTTTTTTTTCTCGCTTCTCTCTCTTTGCAGAAGATGTTCATAGAAAATGGCTTTATCTATCTCCGATGAAGAATACACATCTTTACGGATTTCAAGGTAAAGCATCGATTACTCTCTTACTCTCAGATTGATAGATATTTCATGAATTTTTGGGAGTTGGGTCGATCATCTTTCTCTATTTGGTTGATCTTCATGGCTGGGTCCTTCTTTTGATTTATTTGTCTGATTTTTTTAGTCACCGATCTTTCACATGTCAAAGATATTCACGATTATTGAAAAGATAATATCATTATTTCTTCACCACTGATCAAGAAGCTCTTGGGTAATGGATCCTTCATCTCTTAAAGAATTTTGGGGATTTTTTGGAAATACACAAGAAACCTCTCAAGATTCACTCATCTTACTATTGATCTGGTAAAAATAGCTTCAATTTACTTTATTCTCTGGTTTTATTTTCGATTTTGTTAGTGGGTTTGCTTTGATTGTGGCAAAATTTGTATTTTCTTTTCATTTCTTTATAAACCTGGGTTTATCTTTGTATTTGTATTCATGTAATGTATCTCTCTTTAGTTGAAGAACCCTCATTCAATGGATTTGGAGGCATCTCTGACTCTTATAAATGCAAATAGGATGGTGCTTCTTTAATCAGATACCACTCACCAAGGGTAAAATAATTATAATTATATTTTTGTATATGCACACAAGTTTTTTCCATCAATTGCTCTTACATTTGCACTTTAACTTTTTTTTTTCATTTTATAATTGGTCTTTTGATTAGTTTTACTTACGCCATTAAGTTTTGGAATTTGTAGGATATCAAGGGGAAGTTAACTTGGGTGCAACTCAAAAAATTTATGGATCCAAGCAATTTTGCAGTCAAAATCTAGTGAAGGACAATGTCTTGATGTGAAACTTAACATCCAAGGAGTTCCGGTAACAACAAATTTCTACCTACTCTCTATTGGTGGTTATGATGCCGTATTGGGTGCACAATGGCTCCAATCATTGGAGCCCATAATATGGGACTTCTCCAAAATGTTGATGCACTTTTCTTATAAAGGAGATACATTCAAGCTTGTTGGTGTCGCTACTAAAGAACTCGTTGTTCTTTCTTGTTGTCAAATAGAACATTTTTTTAAACGTCCCTCTCTGGGTCTATTGTTATAAGTCTAAGAAGTTTGTGCTGTTACAAAAGTACCTAGCCTTCCGCTAAGCATTCAAGCCATTCTCATTGAGTTCTCTGATGTGTTCTCTCCACCATTTGGTCTGCCTCCACTTCAGTCCCATGATCATCACATCACGCTTCTTCCAGGATCGTCACCAACTAATGTCCAACCCTACAGATATCCATTGATGCAAAAGGCAGAAATTGAATGCATTATTAGAGAAATGCTCCAAGAATGAATAATTAGACCAAGCCATAGTCCATTTTTATCCCCTGTTCGGTTAGCTCGCAAGCATAATGGTAATTGGCGGCTATGTATTGATTATCGGGCTTTAAATAGTGCAACAGTCAATGATTGGTATCCAATTCAAGTGGTAGATGAACTCCTTGATGAGCTTTATGGTGCAATTATCTTCTCCAAACTTGACTTATGGTCTGGATTTCATCAAATTCGAGTAGTGGAGGACGACATTCCTAAAACTGTTTTTCGGATACATGACAGCCATTATGAATTTCTTGTGATGCCTTTTGGCCTCACAAATGCCTTATCAATATTTCAGAGCCTTATGAACGAGGTATTAGGTTTGTTCCTAAGGAAATTTATTTTGGTACTTTTTGACGATATATTAGTTTACTGCTCTTCCAAAGCAGACCATGTCACTCATCTAAAACAAATCTTGGAGCTCCTTTATCAACACAAATTGCATGCAAAATTTTCGAAATGGTGTTTTGGATGCTCAGAGGTTAATTTTCGGGGCATGTGATCTCTTTTACTGGTGTTACCGTAGACCAAAAAAAGGTGGACACAATTCTACAATGGCCTCTACTATCAACATTGAAATCACTTTGTGGATCTCTGAGCCTAATAGGATATTACAAAAAGTTTGTTCAAAGGTATAGAAAGATTACAGTTCCCCTTACAAATATGTTGAAGAAAAGAGCTTTCCATGGACAGATAATTCTAAGGCAGCATTTGAGTTGCTTAAGCAAGCATTAACTCGTCCCTATATTCTTGCACTTCCAGATTTCACCAAAAAAATTGTGATCGAGTATGATGCTTCTAGAGTTGGAATCAGTGTCGTGTTAATGCAATCAGGCCGTCCAATAGCTTATTTTAGCCAAGCCTTTCATGGTAAGCATTTTCACCTCTCTATTTATGAAAAACAACTACTTTCACTCATCTAAAACAAATCTTAGAGCTCTTTTATCAACTTAAATTGTATGCAAAATTGTCGAAATGTCATTTGGGATGCTCAGAGGTTAATTTTTTGGGGCATGTGATCTCTTTTACTGGTGTTACCGTAGACCAAAAGAAGGTGGACACAATTCTACAATGGCCTCTACTATCAACATTGAAATCACTCTGTGGATTTCTTGTCCTAATAGGATATTACAAAAAGTTTGTTCAAAGGTATAGAAAGATTGCAATGCTCCTTACAAATATGTTAAGGAAAAGAGCTTTCCAAGGACAAATAATTCCAAGGCAGCATTTGAGTTGCTTAAGCAAGCATTAACTCGTCCCCATATTCTTGCACTTCCAGATTTCACCAAAAAAATTGTGATCGAGTATGATGCTTCTGGAGTTGGAATCAGTGTCGTGTTAATGCAATTAGGCCGTCCAATAGCTTATTTTAGCCAAGCCCTTCATGGTAAGCATTTTCACCTCTCTACTTGTGAAAAACAACTACTTGCACTAATCCTATCTGTTCAGAGATGGCATCCATATTTGCTGGGAGGTTGTTTTATAATTCGAATTGATCATCATAGTTTAAAATATTTATTAGAGCAACGAGTGGGGACACCTTCTCAACAATATTGGTTATTGAAACTTTTGGGTTATCATTATATAGTTGAGTATAGGCGGGGATCCTTGAACTCAGCAGCTAATGCATTATCCATGCGTGATCAGGATGTTACCTTACATTCTGTTTCTCGAATTATACCAGTATGGATGAAAGAATTGGACAACCTTTCTCTCGCAGATCAGAACGTTGTTGCCAAGTTATAATCTTATTAGGATGGGAAACTAGGCATATCTGTGATACCCCTCGATTCTAGAGCCACGGGTGATTAAGTCCGAGCACAGATCCGAGGGACATCAAACAATTAATATATAATTAAGCACAGAATATAAATCGAATTAATAAGAAATAAATAATAAAGCAGAAAAGAATTCAAAAAAAATCCTCAAAATAATAATGTTAAAATCCATTAATCCAAAATCTCCAAAGTAACTCCATTAATTTAACAACTCGGGAATCCCTCAAGTGGACCCCTAATAAAATCCCGATCTAGAAAGGAAATAACTGTAATCAAAATCCAAAGCTAAATAAAGACGTAGTCATACGTAGTCGGAGGAATGAATGTCTGTATCTACTCTGCACGACCAAGCTCTAACCTTGAAACTGACGAGCACCTGAAAAATAAGAGAGTGGGTCAGGACCACATGCAAGTCCTATTCTACTACGATCCATATAGAAACCCGATACGCAAATACATCCTAGATAGCTCAACAATATCTAGAGTAGTCCATATATGTATAAGTACACACTACAGGACGCTCGCCAGTCCAATAGGTCTATCTTAGCAGCACATAATGTGGTCATATATACCTAGACCTACCAGGGAACAACACCTATGTCCAGTTATCCATCCTAAGCGATATACGCACCCTAACCATGGTTCTGAGACTCAAGCTCATACCTTGGCACCATAGCATAAATATATAAAGTCCATATACTCCTAATACAAAATATCATCCATCTGGTATATTAGCTTGATATACGTATAACCATTCATCCAGTAGGTCATGCAATTATTTTATTGACATCACTCTAATAGGAGTAGGACTTAACCTTTATGGTTAATCCATACTTCCATCCAGAATAGATAGGACTTAGTGTTTGAACTAATCCATCCCTAGTATGCCACCGTCCCATACCGGTGCATACAATTCTCCAAATAACATAGTTAATAAAACAACGTTATATATTCATTAATGGAGCCGGCTCCAAGGGATATAGAGCCAGCTCCATGCTGCATAGAGCAGGCTCCCTAAGTTAGGGAGCCGGCTCTCATTGATGAGGGAGTTGGCTCCCTCCTTTTGGGAGCCCTCTCTGTCTCTCTCTAAAGCCCGTCTGTGTTTTTCTGTTGTCTTCCTCACCTCCGGCAATACTGGGAGTCTCTGTACTAATTTTATTACGTGTTCTAGGGTTCCATCTTAGTCCCAGATTAATCATAAAGCATTGTTATACAATCATGACATGAATTGAATATAAGATTCTAAAACAACGGCAGCAGGATTTCAATTCAAAACTTTAAGCAAACTCAAACCAGATTAATTCAATGAACTTACATACTGTTAAACATGCATAAAAGATGTGTTTTAGCATTAGTTTAATCCTTGGAGTCTACCTAGGCATGCACAGAACACAGGTTTAAGGGAAAGAGATGGAATAGAGACTTGCCTTTAGGTTTCCGTTCAAAACCTTAAACCTCCGTCTCTGATTTTTTCGGCCACCTTTTAGACTGTCATTCCACTACTCTGTTGCTTTTGGTTCAACCCAAAAGCACTCAGTCCCGTCCTCCTTGAATCCCTCTGTTTATCTCTCACGTTGTACTCTCTGTTTCTCTCTGCCTTTCACAACTCTCTGTTCGTGAAACTAAGTTGAAAGCTTAAACCCTAGATAGACCTAATATAAGAATATATATAGGCGTCTCTAAAAACCCTAGTCCACTTAGAATTAGAGATTTAAAACCCTAATTAAACTCTCGTCGGCCATAACATGAAACATAAAACAAAACCTTAAATTACAATTAACGTATTTACCTTATTCAAACAATTACGACAATGAAAGAAAATACTAATAATACAATTAATGTAATTATAGAAAAATAAAAATACAACTAAACAATTAATTACATCACATAAACACCATTAAATAAAATAATTCATTAAAATCACATAATTCACAATTAATTCAAATATTAAGCAAATAAACAATTAAATTATTAAAAATGCAATTAAATAATTAATTAAAATACCAGGACTATCCTTTTAAAATTAGGGGTATTACATTCTCTCCCCCTAACAAAAGGAATTCCGTCCTCGAAATTCACTCTTACCTTCTTCTAATATTTCAGGAAAATGCGAGCGAATAACATCCTCCTGTTCCCAAGTAGACTCAGCCTCATTATGATGACTCCACTGAACACGCACCAAAGGGATAACCTTATTACGAAGGATTTGATCCCGACGATCGACAATACGACACGGTGGCTCCAAATAAGTTGCATCCGGCTGCAACTCAATCTCCCCAACATCAATATGCTGATACCGATCCTCATCTCGCAGAAATTTCTGCAACATCGAAACATGAAACATGTTGTGTACACGATCCAAATTATCTGGAAGTGCCAACCGATAAGCGACAACTCCAACTCGAGCCGTAATCATGAATGGACGGATAAATCACGAAGACAACTTCCCTTTCTTCCCAAAGCGCATTACACCGTTCATAAGAGACACTTTGAGTAGAACCTAATCCCCAACCTAAAACTCCAAAGCATGTGTGCAACGATCCGCATAACTCTTTTGCCTACTCTGGGCAGTGCGCATGCAATCCCTAATAAGAGCAATCTTCTCAGAAGTATCCTTGATGAATTCAGGACCCAAGAATCTGCTCTCGCCAACATCCATCCAACAAACAGGTGATCAACACGGTCGGACGTACAATGCCTCAAATGGTGCCATACCAATAGTCTTCTAAAAACTATTATTATAGGCAAACTCCACAAGTGGCAAATAATCCTCCCAGTGGCGCTTGAAATCAATAACACACGACCAAAACATATCCTCCATGATTTGATTCACCCTCTCAGTCTGTCCATCAGTCTGAGGATGATAAGCAATGCTAAGATGTAACTCTATACCCAAAGCATGCTGAAAACTCTTCCAGAATCCTAACATAAAGCTCGAATCCCTATCCGATATAATAGACAATGGAATTCCATACAGCTTCAATGTAAAGTCTCGCTAACTACTCCGAAGTGAAGTCAGTGCGAATAGGCAAGAAATGAGCTGACTTAGTCAATCTGTCCACGAAGATCCAAATGGAATTGTGATCTTTGAAGGAATTAGGCAATCCCTCCATAAAATCAATAGAAATGCTCTCCCATTTCCACTCCGGTATCGGTAGTGGCTGTAGAACTCCTAGCGGCCGCTGATGATCAATCTTAACCATCTGACAGGTACTACATCGAAAGACAAAAATAGCAATGTCCTTTTTCATACTTGCCCACCAAAACTGCCGTTTCATATCCTGATACATCGTGTTCCCTCCTGGATGAATAGAAAACTCAGAATAATGAGTCTCTATCATCACGTCCTTCCTCAAATAATCTGCAGAAGGGACCACTAACCATCCCTTGTACCTCAAACCTCTATCAGCCCCAACATAGTAAAATGGGACCTCTCCGAAAGCTATCTCTGTAACTTTGTCAATGTACTGCTGATCCGTGAGTTGTGCCTTCAAAACCTTGTGAATGATAGAAGGTGTAACTACCATGAAAGCATCTGACAACTCATCCACCATCCTCAAAACATTCCACTCAGTATTGAATAGAGCAAAAAGACTAGCAATGGGTCGGCGACTGAGTGCATCCGCCACCACATTCTCTTTCCCTGGATGGTACTGTATAGAGAAGTGATAGTCTTTCACAAACTCTAACCATCAATGTTGTCTCATATTCAGTTCACGGTGAGTGAACAAATACTGCAGACTCTTGTGATCGCTAAATAATCTGAAGGATTCGCCCAACAGATAATGCCTCCAAATACGTAAGGCAAAGACCCAGTTACTAACTCCAAATCATGTGTTGGATAATTAAGCTCGTGAGACTTAAGCTTACGAGATCCATACGAAATTGGTCGCTCTTCCTGCATCAAAACACATTCAAGACCCTGCAAAGAAGCATCTGTGTAGACAAGATACTCTATCCCGCTTTGTGGGGTAGACAAAACCGGTGCAGAAGTCAACTTAGTCTTCAGCTTATCAAAAGCTTTCTGACAATGTTCATCCCACATGAACCGTACGCTCTTTTTAGTCAAATGAGTGAGTGGTCCGGCTATCT